TTATATACTAAAGAAATTTACAATAACCACAATTAGTTAACTGAATATAAATAAATAGTAATTGTTTTAATATATTTGAAAACTGTTTCAAAAGATAAAGTACAGAAATCGACAGAAATTAGGAGGTTTCAAAATACTAGGTAAGGGACGTTTCTACTAACTACTTTAATACACTTCACAATGGATTCTCACATATGCGCATACAATACTTATAAGGCGCGTAAGAATTGTCTTGTATTACTTTGGTTTGTTTCTTAGAAGTACAAAAGTCAATGATGCATTTTAAAAAGTATTAGAGACAATAGCACTTAATTGTTTATTAATGAAAAAGAGTCCCTAGTTTCCATTCACTTAACGAAATTAGTCACAGTTTCTTACTTAAATAAAAGAAAACAGTGCTTCTATATTAGATGACAGCATGCTTTGTCTGTAGATACTTTATTTACTTACTACGGAAATATAAACACTTTCATAGTGACATCCCTGAATTCACAGGAGGCTATTCGTTTTATTTCACTTTGGGATGATTTTGAATTATTTGTTGAGAAGAATAGAAAAACTAATAGTTTTCCTGTAATGAAATAAACTTCTGTTTTTTTTTCTTCTTATTTTATTTATTTAATATTTTAGGATCTTATGTGTGAAGCTTTTAAATTCTATAATGTTGTCAGTCGTAAGGGTTGTAGTCCTCATTATTTTCTATGTTTGAGTCTCACTAATGCGCTTGCTCCATTGCATATTGTTCTGCACACGGCTGTGTACGCCATTATTATTTTGTTATGGTCCAACGAATTAAAGTTTGCACGTGTGATAACCCTTCCTCTGTTTTATGGTAGGATACTTTCTTTCAACTTTCCAAGATATGGAATAATCTTTTAAATACCTTATGTACTTTATGATGCCTTAATTATCAGGAGTTTTAAACTATTTTTGGCTATTCTCAAAACACGCACCATCGATCCAACGAGCACTGTTGTTTTTCTTATTGTATTATCCATAGGACTCTGATAGAAATTGTTACTCCAGTACAACATATGTGGCATTACTTACACACTGGAGACTATAAGCACTCTAAAAGAGTATACACTCGAAAAATTAGTTAACTAAACAGTTTACTCTTCTGAGCTCCAATTCGATCCTTGCAGTGGACGCAATTAGATAGTTCATTTTGTTTCATAGCAATATGGCAGAAAACAAATAAGCATCTTCACATTGTTAAAACTATATATATATATATTCTCTTGAAACTGGACTCAACTTATCATCGTCAAAGGCCCGACATGGCCAGGTGGTTAGGGTGCTCGACTCGCAACCTGAGGGTCGCGGGTTCGAATCTCCGTCCAATCAAACATGCTACCTTCCCTCTAGTCTTACACTGCTGAATTAGGGACGGCTAGCGCAGATAGCCCTCGTGTAGCTTTGCGTGAAATTCAAAACAAACAAGTCATCATCAAAGGTACCTTTTTTATTTGTAACTGTTATTTATTCACTCGGAACTGTTCTCATCTCACCAGCGACAAAAACATCTCTTTATATATGACTTTGTTCGCATGTACTTTAGGGTATAATTATTGTGTTTCGTCATGGTTTTAGAAAAATACAGTTTTAGATACGAATTATAAGCTCATGTTGAACGTTTAATAAAATATATATTACACATGTATATAATGTTTGAATGGGTAATGAAGAAAAACTTTAATATAAGTTTAACATAACAGCAAATGTTCAACATTTCGACAAGGTTTTGTCTTGTTTGTTTGTTTTTGAATTTCGCGCAAAGCTACACGAGGGCTATCTGCGCTAGCCGTCCCTAATTTAGCAGTGTAAGACTAGAGGGAAGGCAGCTAGTCAGCACCACCCACCGCCTTGGGCTACTCTTTTAACAACGAATAGTGGGATTCACCGTCACATTATAACGCCCCCACGGCTGAAAGGGCGAGCATGTTTGGTGTGACGGGGATTCGAACCCGCAGACTGCGAGTCGAGCGCTCTAACCACCTGACCATGCCGGGCTAAGGTTTTGTCATCATCATTCAAGCCGTCTCCAAGCATTATTAGTCTCAAAATAGGTTCCTCGTCATCGAATTTGAATACACACGTATATGAAGTTCTGACAAGCAATGAGTGAAAACAAATATGAACATTTTATAATATGACAGCCACACTGCATCTGTCGTGTCCAGTGTTGAAGACGCCTTTCGGCAATGCCAAGATAACTCGGGCCAGCTTGGATACGACAAACACAGTAGTGGTCTAGGCACTATATATATATCATAAGTTTTCGTGAATAACAAATGTTTTACTGTGAACCAGAATTAATCACGAGAATTGTAATTATCATTATTTTTATTCAAGCCAAATCTTATTTTTGGTTAAGTACAGTACGGCCGCCAAACTATGCCACAGACTATATTAAACCATCTGTCATATTTCATGAAATTAAACATATTTGCCAACAGCCGTTTTTGTTTTTATTGGTGGTCTTTCTGTGGTGTATTTACAGTGTGGAATACTCTACTTTAATTAGTTGTGCATTATTAGTCAGCTGTCTTATTGCCGCTTTTTGTAAAAACCATCATTGTTAACTTATTTATTTTTACATTTTCATGACGATTCATTACAGACGTGCCTAAGAACTCAAACTGAGGTTCTTACATTTAAATTTGATATACATTAACCACCTGTAAGGGTTCGCGTGTTTGTACTTAGAATTTTAACATCTGTATTTTGTTTTTCTTTATATTGGACGATCTACCTGTAATGTATTTATAGTGAAATACTCTGTACGACAGACGTCATTGGCTTTCACAAGGCTTCCCTACTATCATAGGTATGTGTTGTATGAGTAATACGTTTGGTTTCGTTAGTTAAGTATATACTAAAGAAATTTACAATAACCACAATTAGTTAACTGAATATAAATAAACACTTATAAGGAACCCTAGCAGTAATAAGTTCGTGTTTATTCTATTTGGAAATTTCTACGTTTTTATTCTTTTAAAGATAAGAAATTTGTCGAACTGCTCAATTATTGAAAAACAAAAGAAATAACACTTGTTTAAGAATATGTTTCTAGCTCCTGTCTGTAAATTAGATCCATGATGATTCACCAGATCGAAGCATTGTTGATCCGTTGTTGTTTGGAAATATATAGCTAAAATATTTTCTTGTGTTTAAGAAATATTTACAATTTTTGATTTTCTGAGCTTTATTCAAAATGAAACTTTAAAGTAGGTGGTCACTTTTTATATGCAGAATCGTTTTACTCCTTTACAGATAAAACATGGCATTTATTTGTTTCAACAAAAGAAGAGACAGAAAGCTGAGAATCATCGTCGTTAGTATATTTCTAAGTGGTTGTGTTTTTTTAGTTTCTCGGAATCTCTCGATATCAGGTATGTGACTTGAACACTTCACTCTACGAAAATATCGCATTTTCTTCCCGAAATTCCATTTGTCTTGGTTATTAAATCAAGCTGATGATTATAATTAAGCAGTCCACATCAAAACACAAATGGGGAACAATGTCATACGACGTGATAAATTATTACTATAATTTTTTAAGTGTGTTTCATTTTTAACATCTTCTGTAACTGTTAGAGACATACAATAATCTGGATGCTTTCAATTACATACATTATCTTGATAAATTCGTTCATATTAAGATACATTTACTGTGAAAGTAAACTCTATCTTTACATTTAGCTGAACCTTTAATTGTTATTCAGAGCTTTAATAAAGGCTTCTCGTGGTTAGATTAATATTGAGGTTAATTTTCCTTTGTGAAACTATGTCCAGCGTATTGGGCTGTCGATCCGATATTCCAAAGTTCGACTTCTAAAACCGCAACAACAACAAAAACGTGATATTCAAGTTCGCCTATCTCATAACTAGATAAAGATTTAATTTGAGTTTTCTTTGTTAGTTTTTTTCGTTTTTCAAATAATATTTGGGAACGTTTGATTTCAAATCTATTCAACTTTTTTGGTCATTCTGTTATAGGCAGAAATCCAGATTTTTACTCCTACAGATGGCGAGTACTGATATAAAAACCCGATAAATATATATACGCAAAGAAATGCTGTGACACCCTCAAATCTAGGCCCGGCATGGCAAGGTGGTTAGGGCGCTCGACTCGTAATATGCGGGTCGCGGGTTCGAATCCCCGTCACATCCTCTTCCTTTCAGCCGTGGGGGCGTTATAATATGACGGTGAATCCCGCTATTCGTTGGTGAAAGAGTAGCCCAAGAGATGGCGGTCGGTGGTGATGACTAGCTGCCTTCCCTCTAGTCTTACACTGCTAAATTAGGGACGGCTAGCACAGATAGCCATCTTGTAGCTTTGCCTCGAAATTCAAAACAAACAAACCCTCAAATCTTAATTGCATAAATTTCTGTCTGTGTTATGACTTCAAACTATATAATCTAAAACAAAGGCTTACTCCAAAATATTGAATGAGTTTAACAATTTGATCTCATTACTGTAATAAAATACTAGCTCGGCACTATTAGAGAGTTACAATCTATTAGATATGGTTATTACACTTGACTTGTAGTTTAGCTGTTAGGCTTAGTTGACATGTATTCGATTCAGTTCAGTATTTTAGCTGTCAAAGCAGCTAAGGACTATGATTTTAAACCGCGTTTTAATAGTACTGAAAATATCTTATCCAGTTTTTATATACATTCGCACTATTTATTTATCGATCAAATGTATTAAAAAGTAACAATTATCTTGAAAATAACTGGATCGTTACTTACTTATTATGTGAAACAATGCCATTTGATGATAGTTGCATTTGCAATTTAAAATGTTTACAAAATATAATATAATAAGTTTTAGAGATATATAGTAACCTGGATTATTTGAGTTACATACAATGTCTTGTCGAATGTGTACATAGTAGAATACATTTACTGAGAAACTTATTTTTTAAATATTTTGTATTGATTGTAAGATCATTTACTCATACTACCAGTATTAATCCATCTATCTTTTGTAATTTTAACTTAATTGTTTTCAACTCTATTTAAAAAGTTGTTTCCTTATGTAAGAGATAATTTCCGAGTACAAAGAGACCAGTATTATGAAGTGTCGGAAACCTTAGGTAAGGATGTTTGTTTGTTTGTTTTGAATTTCTCGCAAAGCTACACGAGGGCTATCTGCGCGAGAAGTCTCTAGGTTTGAAGTGATAGACTAGAAAGTGTGTTTGTTTGTTTTGAATTTCTCGCAAAGCTACACGAGGGCCATCTGCACTAGCCGTCCCTAATTTAGCAATGTAAGACTAAAGGGAAGGCACCTAGTCATCACCACTCACCGCCAACTCTTTTACCAATGAATAGTGGGATTGACCGTCACAGTATAACGCCCAACGGCTGAAGGGGCGTGCATGTTTGGTGGGACGAGATTCGAACCCGCGACCGAGCCATGATGTTTCTTGTAACTCACTTAAAACTATCACAAATGGATCATTACAAATCCACATATAACATTTTTAAAGAGCGTAGGAGTAGGTTTAGATTAGTTTGGTTTGTCTCTAAAAAGTATACAAATAAATGTTAGAGACAATTGTGCATTACGGTTCACTAATGAAAACATCATTATTTTTCATTCAACAACCACTCTTTGAAAAAACGTTGATTGTATGATTATCTTTCAACTAAAATGGTTTTTCACACGATATAAGTTAAAACAAGGGTCTAATCCAAAATATTCAGTTGTTTTACCAATCTGAATTCAGCAGCGCGTCGTCTAGGTTAGACAATTAAATCTTAATCTTTGTTCGATTTAGGTCAGTAACTTATTACATTTATTCCAAAGTTTCAAAGATTTAGTTCAGTAACTTATTACATTTATTCCAAAGTTTCAATGATTTAGTTCAGTAACTTATTACATTTATTCCAAAGTTTCAATGATTTAGTTCAGTAACTTATTACATTTATTCCAAAGTTTCAATGATTTAGTTCAGTAACTTATTACATTTTCTGTACCGCGACTAGAGGATGGTATGAAGATGTAGTTTAATAACATCTGAAAATTAACTTCTTGAGTTTTGTATGTGAAGATTTAATATTGATCTATCGATAAATTGTGTTCAATATATTAAAAAGTAACAATTACTTTGAAAATAATTGGATCATTACCTACCCATAACTCTTTCAGGTCGAAAGAGATTCCTAAAAATGAAAAACGTGACAGAACCACAAAATATGTTCTTTTTTGAAACCTCTGGTAAATGCTACCTTACGAGTAGAGAATCTTGCTCTATTGAGTCTGCAGCAAAATATCATCCTACGAACAGGATCCAGTTATTTTACGCTTGTAGTAACGAGAGTCAATTAAAAAACGACGAGCTTTTCCAACTTGTATCGCAAATTGAAAACGTCGAAGTTAAATCGCTGAACTTCACATATCTATTCTCCGGAACACCTTTAGCTAAGTGGTATCAGAGTGATATATTTAACTTAACCATTCACAAAACAGCATTTTTATCGGATGGTTTGAAATATGTGATGCTCGGAAAGTATGGTGGTGTAGCCATCGACTCTGACTGTATAACAAGAAAACCGCTTCCTAACTTACCTGCTTACGCTGGTTTTCAAACTTCGATAACTGTGAACAATGCTGTCATTAAAGCACAGAAAGGCAGTCCATTTCTCGTTGAATGCATGGAACGATTTCTTACAGAATACAACTCATCGATCTGGGGATTTGTGGGTCCTGCTTTAGTGACCAGAATATTTCGAGAAGCATGTAAAAGAGAAAACAAATACTTTGCACCAGGATTCACATGTTACGGAGTTCATCTCTTTCCCCTTCCAGCTTTTTATCCTATTCATTTTTCTCAGAGAAAACTATTTTTTGATCCCAACGTTTCTGAGTCCTTAAACGAGATATGGAAGGATAGTTATATGGTACATATCTGGAATAATGCAGTTCAAAGACAGCAATTTAAACCTGGAGATGGGAGTCCAATGGATCATTTGTACAAGGACAATTGTCCAATAACTTATTCTTATATTGTGAAACAAGGTGTAGGAGAGTGAATACAAAATTGCTTTTGAAAAAACAGTATCCATTTCAAATCTAATTTTCAGAAGGTATATTTGTTTTCGATTTTATTTTGTATTACTATCTAAAACAATGATAACTCCGTTAATAAAATCACATAATTTAAACTTTCAAACTTCAAAGCGTAGTTTCTATTTTTATATACAAATTTTCAGTTAATTTGTTAAAGTGTTTTAGTTCACGATGTTAAATAAGAAAATACCAATATTATATTTTCTTTTACAAGTTTTGAGCATCTTTCATACCAGTTTTTTTTTTCTTTCAGGTATTTAATTTCAAGATTCTACGTATTTTAATAATTATGTATGCGACGTTCTTGGTTTAGTCCTAATCTAGTATTTATTTTAAGAAATCCAAACTTAATTTAAGTTATTAGAGGAATATTCCCCACCCATAAATAGTTTATTTAATTGGATAACTTTATTATACAAATGTTGGATGAAAACAGGGTTGTCAATTTTAAGTAAAAGAGCTACATTAAGAAAAATTCTCGTATTTTTATTCTTGACTGTAAATTTATTTTATTCATTTTGATAAAAAAGTTAGCACAAAGGATCGCATATAAAGTGTAATACATTTAAAACAAGACCCAAAACTCGAGGGGTTTCGAATACTTGACTATTCTTCTTCAGGAGAACAAAGGAGAAGAATAGTCAAATATTCGAAAGCGCTCGAGTTTGGGGTCTTATTTTAAGTCTAATTTATTTTATTAGATATTTGTCTGACTTTCTAAACAGAATCCAACGTATATTTGAAATATAAAATATTTGTCCAACAATATATTTTTTAAGTTAATGACATGGATTCACATTACAGTATTTTACATCGTATACAAAATTTTCAGAAAATAAATAACTCCATTAAATCATTTCAAATATTATTTGTTAATCATTTTTTCTTTTTGAAAAAATTCAAATTCAGAGAAGTTTAGAACTTCCAAATTGTTTGATTTGTTTGCTTTAGAATTTGCTTACAATGATGCGCGAATGTTTATCAACGAATAGTCGTCCCTAAATCAACAATCTCATATCGCCCACTCGGCATGAAAAATGCAGGGTGATTGGATTTTTTTCGGCAATAGAACTTGGGGGGTTTGAAAAGACGAACATTTAATAATCTTCAGCCATGTGGACGTTATATAGTTACAGTCAATCCTACTTCACCTCAGTATTAGCCCAAGATTTGGTGGTGGGTGGTGTTGTCTAGTCGACTTCATTCTATTCTATCACTTCAATATTAAGGACGACTAACTC